AGCTGGGTGGTGTGGCTCACTCCTATAATCCAGGCTACAAAGGAGGCTGAGATTAGAGGATGGTGGTTCAAAGCCAGCCTGGGCAAAAATGTCTGTGAGACTCTTATCTCCAACTAATCAGCAAAATCCAGAAGTGGAGGTATGGTTTAAGTGGTAGAACACCAGTCTTGAGTAAAAACGAAGAGTCAGTGCCAAGGCCCTGACGTACACAGTGGTGTAGTAGCCCTCATATTGGTACACATAAACATACAATCATCATTTATAAATTATGTTCTCCAATTAGGAATTAGTGTTAGGTCTATCATTATATGTATTTTTCTAAAATGCCCTAAATTTAATCTGCAAATCTGTAAAATTAGTAGCAGAGGGAAAAGCATTCTACTACTTTAGGTCAAAAATAGTTCCTATAGAACACATTTATTTCTGTTATTGATGGTACTGTTCATACTTGTTCCTATCTTAGGTTTATAACTTTGTGTCATAACTAGGATCAAAATGCTACCTAACGGCATAAATGCATTTATTCACGAAGCAATAACAAGGTCACACTGACACTGTGCAATATCCTCCAAAGAGCAGTAAAACATGCTTTCAAGTTGAGGGAGTTGAAAGTTTATTGAAAATGAGTTAGCTATTTTTTTTATAAGAGTAGGCTCATTATGTTATCAGAGATATGTTTTGGATGTCTGTCTTACTCTTAGAAACATTCAGATGTGGTTGAATGCAGAGAACTTTGAACAATAACTACGTTTATCATCCCTGTGTGTTGACATGGAATACATTAGGAGTTATGAACTTGCTTTTCTGCTATCCTTAGCAAAATGAAGAGTTAGAAGAGGTTGTGATAGTACAGAATACCATTTGTAAGAGGAATAAAGTCATGTGAGCAAAACTATCATGTAGTCCAAGACAATCAATGACTTAAAGCAATGTTATAGTCTTGAGAAAAGGAATGGCCAGACAAAGCAGAATAAGGAATTTACAGAAAAACTGAGTCTAAGTGAAATATTACATTAAAAAGGATGGCAACTTTTAATTCGATTAGAGATTTATTTTTGAAAGTCACTGAAGTATTCCTGAAGTTAGCATGGCTGCCCTGTTAAGGAGAAGAATGGAACACCAGTAGCTCACTCCTGTAATCCTGGCTGAGACCCAGAAGATCATTCTCCAAGCCAACCCATGTTGGCTCCATCTCCAAAAATCCAGCAAAAAGCTGGGCTGGAGGCATGACTCAAGTGGAAGAGCACTAGCTGAACAAATGCAAGGCTCTGAGTTCAATCTCCAAGAGAGAGAGAATCAGAAACAAAGACAGAGAGCAAACTCAAATGATAGCGATAAACATATTAAAACTTGCAATTTAGTTAGTGATTCTGTGCTATGGCATTAAAGGTCTCAGTTCCGTGACAAAGTGGGAAAGAAAAACAATTTCATTATTATATACATAATAATGCTTATTATGTGACATCACAACATTATTCAAGTGTGATCTTATTCAACTTTCCTAGTGACCTGGGATTCCGTTTATAGGAATAGAAAATGGCAGGACCTGGAATTGAATAAGGTCTGTCTACTTGCAAACAAACAGAAAAAAAGCAAAGCAGGAAATGCTCTCTCGGCCGTCTCAAGTGTTTCATGATAATGGCCTTTTATTTTCTTAGTATCTGCAAATGGAATTATTTGAGAATAAAATATGCTATCCAATGTAAAGAAGGAATGAGCAATATAATCATGCAGAAGGACCCTGACTTACAATGGCACAAAATGACACACATCCAGTAGAAATTGTGTTGAATGTTTTAGTGGAGAGAAGTTAGATACTGCCTGGTGTTGCTGGACAGTGGAGCAGCTAGTTCTTTGAGCCATAGGAACATGAGAGAGAGTGTCAATTGAGTATCCATGGAGTGTCAGGAAGCTAGCATGTGCAGCTAGGATGTTTAGTAGGCTTACTGTATACAGTGCATTTTAGGGTAACAATATTTTCAACTTACGATGGGCCTGGCAGCTTATAATCCCACTGTGAATTCAGGAATATCTGTATTCATTGGAATTCCATTGTTTAAATGTTCTTTTTCTTTTCTTTGAGGGAGAAAAGCTATATTTATTTGGGATTTTTGAGCAGTTGGTATGAATAAGAACATTGACTGTATTAATTATTCTGGGCAATACTATTTTTAGGTCATTTTGCCACCCTCTCCCCATAATTGGTCTGAAGAAGATGATAATATTCTGCATAATAAACTAGTTGTCTCCATTCCTTAAATCCTATCATGGTAAATCAATCACTATATATTTTGCTTGAAATCTTATTTCAATGAAGAGTTTCTGTAACAATGTTTTCTAATTTTTTCTGGAAGATTCCAGAGAGTTCCACAAAATGTTGAGCTGTGATATGCATAATTAAGTCCATTTGTCTCTTTAGGAAAAGGTAATCAATTCTTGACTGTCATTCTTGTTGTTTTTCACTACCCATCATAATGTGTAAACCTACACCTAAGGTTGTACTAGCATTTAGAAACAAAACCCAGGAAATGGTTCCAGATGTCCTTTCCTCCCAGGAATTCTCCTGTAGATTTCTGAAGCCAACTGCTTGCCTATTTTATGCAAACTCTGGATATGTGAAGATTTCACTTCCAGCTTTTTTGGTGCTTAACTAGAGGTAAGAGTTTTGCTGGGGCTTGCTTTGAACTGTAATCCTCAGATGTCAGACTCCTGAGTGGAGTTACAGGCGTGAGCCATTGGCACCAGGCTAAGGATTAAAATATTTTAATAGATATTAGGGGAACCAATCTTTTATCAGTTTATCTTTTATCAGGCTGTATAACTTTGACCATTTCTGTTCAGGATTATCTGTCTTTAAAAGCTGAAGAAAGAATAACATGTTCTGATCTTTTAAAGGGAAAGCATAGATTATTAACCATTACTGCCTTAGGTCAAGAAGAGAGATAGATACACATTTTTCCTTCCAAACCTAGAGAAGAGGGTGAAATTCAATGGAATTCAACTGTGAGCTCCCCTTCCCCATATCTTCTGGATTTTTCTGTCCAAATCATTCAAGTCCCCATGACAATGCTTCACATAGGCTGTAAATCTTGTGTTTTAATAGCATTGTATCCTTGATAGTTGCTGTGCTAAAATTACTAAATTTTATGGACAACAATATTTTGTAAATGTCTGTTGTTAAATAAATATGCTATGTGCACACTTTTGGCTCATGGATAAGATTATGATTAAAGTTATTTGTTTGTAGTGTGGTAATTCTATTCATTGCATCGTTTTCCTCCTAGCTCTACCTCCCACTCATGCATCAACAGACCCATAACACCACACAGATTTCAAGCTCTTTGGTTTAAATGTCTTCTCAACTCATTCTGACTCTTTCTTTTGCAGAATATTCTGACTGTATTAATGATCTATTTTGTTGTTGTTATTCTGGTCCTGGGACTTGAATACCAAGCCTTGGGCATTGTCCTGAGCTTTTTTTTGCTCAAGACTAGCACTCTACCATCTGAGCCAGAACTCTACTTCTGGCATTTTGGTGGTGAATTGGAGATAAGGGTTTCACAGACTTTCCTGCCAGGCTGGCTTTGAATCAAGAACCACAGATCTCAGCCTCCTGAGTAGCAAGGATTGCAGGCATGAGCTACCAGTGCTTGGCCATGTACAACATATTTCTTTCTAAATAATATCACATAAAAGGTTCTTGGAGTTAGAATATGGACATTATTTTTTTCAAGTAACTTTCAGTCCAAGTATAGTATTGGCAAGCACTAAATTTTATCTAAATTTGATTTCCATCATTTAAGTGATATCATTGTAGTTTACCAAGAAAAGGAAGAGCAGATTATCCTAAGGTTAGAGATTCAAAGCAGCTTTCTCTATATTTACATGGAAGCAATATTACTTCCCTTTTTTTTTTCTTTTTGTGCTGGTGTTAGGTCTTGAACTAGGGCCCTCCAACTCTCATTTTTCACTCAACGTTATCACCACTTTCAGGTTTTTGCTGGTTAATTGGAAATAAGAATCTGAAGGACTTTTCTGCCTGGGTTAGCCTCGAGCCCTGATCCTCAGCTGTCAGCCTCCTAAGTAGCTATGATTCCAGGTATGAGCCACAGGAACCTGACTTGAAAGCAATATTTGTGAAAGCTAAGACTGATGGAAAAGTAAAAATGTGTTTGTTTATTCCAGAAATGTATATATTAGCAGAAATCGCTGTGACCAATGTATGAGTTCTCTCCTCTTAGTACAAAAACAACATGAAACAAAAGATTGAAAAAAATTACAGTCATCTTAAAATTTTCCAGATAAAGAAACCACAGGTCAAAGAGCTTAAGTATTTCAGTGCCAGTCACAAAGTTCTTAAGATTTGTGTCTGAGTTTCTCTGGTTCCATGGCTCTTGTTCTTTCCAAGTTGGTCTTCCACAACAGCTTAGGTTCATTGATTTTCTATGTTAGACACAATATAACTAAACTCCTGAAAAATAAAACAGAAGACAGACAAACCGGAGCTAGGGAAAATAGAGACTCAACAGTGCTGGTGAGGACAGGCCCAGGAGAAAAGCCATGAAAGGTAAGTTCTGGCTGTCTAGTCTTGACACCTCATTAGGATAATAAGACTCTGTGTGAGACTTGGTCTAGGAACGTTACACTTAGGCATCTTTGAGGCCCTATGCTAGGAGATCCGCATTATGATTAACCCTGTTTTACACATAGATCAGATGACTCAGTGGGCATAAGGCCAGGAAGTTAGCTGACTTAGTTGGAGTCTGTTGGGAATCTGAATCTGAAATGTTGCCCATAGGCTCATAGGTTTGTAAGCTTGGATCCCAGCTGGTGACTATTTTCAGAGAAGCTGGAGGCTGTGGGAGGAGGGGCTCACTGGAGGAAGTGGGTCACAGGGGCGGGCCCTTGAGGTCTATGGTCTTTTCTGTTGACCTATTTCTGTCTTTCTCTGTTCTGGGTTGCCATGAGTTAAACAATGTCTACCACAAGTTCATGCCCCCATGATACTGGATCTCAACACAAGACCAGAAAACACAGCCAGGGGACTAAGGACTGACACTGCTGATAGGGTAAGTTAAAAATAAATCCTTCCAGGGCTGGGAAGGTGGCTCAGTGGTAGAGCGCTTGCCTTGCATGCCTGAGGCCCTGGGTTCGAATCCTCAGCACCACATAAGCAAAAAGAAAAAAGCCGGAAGTGGTGCTATGGCTCAAGTGGTAGCGTGCTAGCCTTGAGCTGCAGAGCTGAGGGACAGCGCCCAGGCCCAGAGTTTCAGGCCTCATGACCGGACCCAAAAATAAATAAATAAATAAATAAATCCTTCCACATTTAAATTATTGATGCCAGAATTTTTGCCCTAGAAACAACAATAAAAAGTAATACAGCCTTGTACCTGTAATCCTAGCTACTCAGGAGGCTTAGATCTGAGGATCACAGTTCAGGGCCAGCCCGGGTAGGAAAGTCCATGAGACTCTTCTCTCTAGTTAACCATCAGAAAACCAGAAATGGAGTTCTGGCTCAAAGTGTTAGAGTGCTAGCCTTGTGCACAAAGGCTCAGGGACAATGCCCAGGCCCTGAGTTCAAGCCCTATGACTGACATTAAAAAAAAAGATAGATTCTCCAAAGAAAACAGAGAAGATTCCATAAGAAGGGTCTAAGATTCATGAAAGTCTGACAAGTAGAAAGCACTTCACCAAAAACTAGTTTCATCTACCACATAGTTGATTGTGTTGACAGACTGTCCCAGAAAAAGAAAGACCCACTAATGTTTTAAGATATAAAAATGGTATCTCAAGCACTTTTCTCAATAAACTTGGACTTTTTACAATATATGAAACTGCAAAGAAAAACACAGCTTTGAGTAATGGAATATGGGCCCACCACCTTTAATCATGACTAAAATAAATTTCATTAAAGCTAAATTTCAGGAGAGCAATCAATTGGATATCAATTTAGATACAGATCTAATTATTAAAATATATGCTTTTTCAAAGTCCATGTGGTACTTTGTGTTCTATTGTACTTTTGAAAATTTCATGATGATTTTAAGTATGTCTATGCATTAGTTATAAAAAGGGAGCTCAAAAATTGGTTATCTACTTGTAGAAAACTAAAGCTGGATCCTTATATATCACCCGCACCAGAATCAACTCCAAATGGATCAAAGACCTCGGAGTCAAAGCAGACACTCTGGAATGGAATAGGAGAAACCCTAGGTCTTGTTGGCACAGGCCGAAATTTTCTTAATAGAGACCCAGAAACACAACAAATCAAAGAAAGGTTGGACAAATGGGATTGCATGAAATTGCAGAGCTTCTGCATGGCAAAGGACATAGCTAGCAAGATCAATAGAAAGTCCACGGATAGGGAGAAGATCTTCACTAGCCATACAATGGACAAGGGTCTCATATCTAAAATATACCTGGAACTCAAAAAATTAAATCCCCCAACAACAAATCCTGAAAGAAACAACTGCCCAATAAATAAGTGGGCTAAAGACTTAAAGAGAAACTTCTATGAAAAGGAAAGAAGGATGGTCAATAGACACATGAAGAAATACTCAACCTCCCTAGCCATAAAAGAAATGCAAATCAAAACAACATTGAGATACCACCTCACCCCAGTTAGAATGGCTATAATCAAGAACTCTAATAACAGATGCTGGAGGGGATGTGGATAGAAGGGAACCATACTTCATTGTTGGTGGGAGTGTAAACTTGTTCAACCACTTTGGAAAGCAGTATGGAGGTTCCTCAAAAGACTCCACATAGAGCTCCCCTATGACCCAGCAATCCCACTTTTAGGCATTTACCCAAATGATCACAAATAAGACCATACTAAAGCTACCAGCACAACTATGTTTAATGCAGCATTATTTACCATAGCTAAGATATGGAACCAACCCAGATGCCCCTCAGTAGATGAATGGATCAAGAAAATGTGGTACATATACACAATGGAATTCTATGCCTCCATCAGAAAGAATGACATTGCCCCATTGTTAGGAAATGGAAAGACTTGGAAAAAATTATATTACATGAAGTAAGGGAGGCCCAAAGAAACTTAGGTCCCATGGTTTCCCTTATTTGCAATATCTAGTATACGTATGAGTCAAGCAGAAAAGGTCAGATAAGTTGATGTTAGGGAAATGAACCCTAAGATATGTATTCAAATGTTTTTTTTTCTTTCATGCGATTGTTTCTAACACATTTATAAGATGATTTCATTGTTGCTTTGTATGTCCCTCCCCCACAGTATAACCCCTGCTTTCACTGTATTTGATGTCGGTATAATTTGTGGAGGGGAAGGGGAAAAACAAATCGTTTAAATAGGGATACAGGTGGACCCATTGCAACAATGAGCCATACAAGTCGTTATGTCGAAAACGAACTTTACAACTTTCGTTGGTGGGGGGGGGAAGGGAACGGGGAGGATTGGGTGGGGGAGGGGGAGGAGGATGGGAAGGGATGGGAAGGGGAAACAAAGGGGGAGGCTACAATGCTTGATAAGAAATGTACTCATTATCTTGCCCATGTAATTGTAACTCCTCTGTACAGTATTTTCACAATTAAAAAAAAGAAAATGAACTTTACAACTTTGGTGGGGGGGGGGGAAGATTGGGCAGGAGGGGGGCAGGGGAGGCTGGGAAGGGATGGGAAGGGGAAACAAAGGAGGAGGCTACAATGCTTGATAAGAAATATACTCATGATCTTGCCCATGTAATTGTACCCCCTCTGTACAGTATTTTCACAATACAAAAAGGGAGCTCATTGTGCTATTTCCATGCCCTTCCATTTATTTATTTAATGAATTCATTTAGTGTGGCAGTATTGGGGCTTGAACTCATGGCCTGAATGCTGTCCTTTAGCTTTTGTGATCAAAGCTGGCACTCTGCCACTTGGGCCAGAGCAACCCTTGTAGCTCTCTTCTGGTTAATTGGAGATAAAGATTTTCAAGGACCTTTTCTGCCTTTTCTGGTTTGGCTTATAACCACGATCCTTAGATCTCAGCCTTCCCATAGCTAGGAATATTTGTATGAGCCACGGGCACCTGGCTCTATACTTCTTATAGATTGCATTTAAATGTTGTGAATTCATACATGTCTTTATATGCTTCACCGCTGAATGTATAAATGTATGTGTGCCTTGTGATGTATGTATGGCATTGAATATATGTATGCCAGGACTGCCAACCAAAGTACTCATGGGTCTGGAACGTTAGGAGGAGAGACCTCTGGTAAGGTAGACTCTCGGAATGGTGAGCCACTGAGCTGTTGTGCCCTAAGAAGTGAAGTCTCATGGGATTAATAATGCTAATTTTTATTTTTAAACAATGTTAACTTGTACAGAAAGCTTTCAACCCATTAGAACATCATCCTTGATTCTGTAAATCCAACTTGAAGCAATCTGTTCACTAATCTTTTTCAACCAGGTCATGATCTCTAATATAAGAAAATTGCTAAACAATGACTTATTAACCAGGAATTGGTGGAATTACCACACTGCTTCAGTTTCTCTTAAAAAATAAGCCAAAGGAAACTGGGTGTTGGCTCATGTGTGTAATTCTAGCTACTCAATAGTTGAGATCTGAGGATCACAATTTGAAGCCAGACAAGGCAGGAAAGTCTATGGGAATCTTATCTCTAATTAACTACCAAAAAGTTGGAAATGGAGGTGTGGCTCCAGTGGTACAGTGCCTGCTCAGGGGCAGTGCCCAGGCCCTGAGTTCAAGTTCCAGTACCAGCAACAAACAAATAAATAAAAACAAATGGACTGGTGCTTAATGAGCTACACAAATGTTTATTTAAATGATTTAAATCTTATTTTTTCTTATCATTCATTTCTAAGTGTCCATCCTATTGTTTGCTACTTAGGAGAAATTGTATAGTTCTCACCTTTTTTAAAACATGGAATAAGAAACACTGAGGTCTGAATTTGCTTCAATAGAAAAAGAAAACTGAAAAAATCAGCTAAGTTAGCAACTTTTGGTTTGGCAAGCAACGCCCCTGGAAGCTTGGTTTTAAAGACATGGATATTTAGTTCTCCAAAAACTTAAATAAGAAAGGAAGCATCAAATAGCTAGCCTAAAATTGAGAAATAAAAGCAAGTTAATATGTAATGGTTAATTAGAAATCTGACAAAGACTTGTCTTTGTATATATACATGCACTTCACCATATAAAGATGTTAAGATTTAAATAAAAAGGCTGTAAAGAGTATCTCTTAGTCTATGATACTTACTACACATGATTTGTGGCAAATGTATAATGATTGGTTCCTTCTCTTCTTCTCCCAGTTTCTATGGAAAAACAAATTACTTGCTGTATAAAATACAGGTTATCAGCATTATTGCTAATTGATGGTATAGCTTCCAAATTCCAAGGCACATACTGAAGATTATGACCTAATCTTACTCAGTAGCATTTCATCAATCACTAGCCAGAAAATAACACACAGTATTTTCTTTGGATCTATGATGCAACTTAATAGTGGCAGTTAAAATAATTAAAGGCCAGTAACCAGATTAAAAAGGTTTACTTTGTGATTTTTTTCTTACTAGAAAAGGATATATATTAAATGATGCTTGAGTTGAATCCAGAGTGGTGGGGGAAAACCCCTTCAATTTGATTTTTTAAAAAAAACCTTTCAATGAGTCTTTTATAAATAGCTACTTTTGCCAGTAAAGGGCTTCTTGGGGAGATAATGGTAGAATAGCTAATCTCTGAGTCTCATAAATTTATATGATTGGGTAAAGAAAATGGGGGCAGATTTAAAGGAAGAAGCAAAAACTCAGTGGGTAAAAATAAGAAGAGTATCAAGTCTTCCAACACCAGGAAAAATTGGGATCAGGGAAGCGATGTGAATGGCTGTGGTCAGAAGGTATCTGCTAGAAGGGGAACTTGGAGGATATGGGAATGAAAGGCACTCATTCCAGTGGCTTTTCTTGACTCTACAGGATTTTGGGGAAATTATTCATTGTATTCCTTGATAATGCAGCTAAGACTAGCAAAACTGCTTGCAAAAAACTAACATTAGATTGGTAAGCATTAAATCATTTGAGAAAACTGAACTAA